TTCGACGGAGCAGCACGCGTCTCACCCGTGCGTTTACTTGTTTGGTTTACGTTGCGCACCAGTGTGTAAGGTTCAAGTATCTCATGCATGCTATTTACTCCCCGTTTGATTATCTCTCTCGGCTGTCATATTGGATGATTCGGCCGTGTGTCAAGAGCATAAACCGGGTCCCTAATCTGATAGTTTCGTAGGACGCTGCTTGTTGGCAGTTTGCCCATAATTTTTGGTCCCTTTGCTGTGGAAGCACAGTTACTGTTTGTAGCCACACTATCTTGAATAATCTTGTATTGTTCCGTTCGACCTCTGTTTCCCTTCGACTTTATTTAGAATAACGTGCAGGCTCAATGACAATCTTCAGAATGTCACATGACCATAGCGTGCATCAGTCTGCCGACCACGTACACACCACGGTTCAGTTTCAATTTCAGTTTGTACAACCATAAACCATGCACTTCCATGCCCCGGTTATGATTACCATTTTTCTTGCCAGAATCCAAAATTGGGATGATTAGGGCACTCGTTTGTAAACTGAGTTAAGTGTGTGAAGTTCAATGGTAGGTTAAAATGCTTTTGTCTTAGTGAAAATTATTTGTCTCGACGTTGTTTTTGCAAACAAAAGGTAGTTAGTTAAACTCGGGAGAAAGGAACTGTAACCTAACAAGCGCTTCCCCAGGTCGTTTATAAGGGAGCTGCCGTATTTTCGCGGCTGATCATGAATAAGCTGGTCCTTGGAACCCACTCCGAATAAGTGGTCGCGTACAATCAGCGGCAACGTTCGAGGATGCGGCGGATTTACCTCTTGACAAAGGTTCTCTGCATAAAACAGCACACACATCTTCGGACAGCGGTGAGACGAAGCAAGTTTAGCCCATTACTGAGTAGAACAATTACCCCTTGTATAGATTCATTTTTCAAGAAGGTTTTTCAAAAGACGCAAGAGAACCAAATACAGACTAACGGCTGATCTGGAACTTCATTACCGCATTGCGGTCCGCGCTTGATGTGCAAAGGAGAGATTGAACGTTCAAACAAGACCTACTTTGGTCGGGGCGACCGAGTAGTACAACAGCCCACAGCCCATACTACGACGAACTTCTCTGATCTAACGTTTTTACAGTATAAATATTTTTCACTCAGTGAAAAACATTCTACAATGGACACTTTCTCATGCTTCCCCAGTATTTCCCTATTTTCCCTTCGACACAAACCCCACATATCCCCATCCCTATCCAGTTCTTCAGACGCGGATAGAAACTCTGCCACTGCACTCTCGTGCGCTACTTCGACTATCGTAAGGAGATCCAAGCCTTGGGACGTCACAAAGCCCCGGACTACGACGTCTTCCCTCAGCTCTATTCAAAGATGGTAAGATAAAGTTTGTTAGAGAACTGCAGGTTTTGTTCTCTAAAGTGCGGAACACTGAGCAAGTCCCCTCCTCGTGGGGGGAATTGATTGTCGTCTCCATCTTCAGAAAGGGCCTGCGCAATGACTGCGCCAATCAGACGGATATAAGCGTGATCCCGATAGCGTCAAAGCTGTTGGTGTCCGTCGTTCTCCGCTGATTGTACACTATGCTCGAGGAGCAGCCTCGCGAGGAGCAGGCTGGGCTCCGCGCCGGTCGTGGATGCATCAATCTAATCTTCACCCTCCGGTAGCTGCTAGGGCACCGTCATGCCTATCAAAGACCGGCGGCTATTATATTCTTTGACATCCACGCGGCCTTTGACTCTGTCCATAGGACCGCACTATGGAACAGTTTGTTGAAGAATGGAGTGCCTGAGAAGTATGTGTCGATCCTCAAAGAGTTGTATCGTCATACCTCAGGTCGGATGAGAGCCTATGGCCAACTTTCGCTACCCTTCGCCGTCTCGAGTGGAGTTAGCCTATATCCCCATTTCTTTTTCAATTTTGTCATAGAGGATGATCCACAGAACGTCTTGTCCGGTCTAGCAAAAGGTGGAGTCGAACTCCTCTCAGGGAATATATTCCGATGACATCGCCTTTATGGGTGACAAGGCACTTTGAAGCGCTTGGCTATCGAGGTATGGTATGTGCTTTGCACCATCCAAGTGCAAAGTGCTTTTTCAAAACTGGCAGGAGTCTGTGCATGCACCCACCCTCTGTGGTGATCAGGTGGAAGTAGTTGAGAGTTTTAAGTACTTCGGGAGCTTGATCGCAGCCGGTGGTGGTTTCGGGGATGAGATCACATCACGAATAG